AAAACAAGTTTAAATATGAACGAATCAAGACACAGATGTCACTTTTAATGCAAAAGAGGGCAAGATGTCGATGTTCTATGTTATATGTTACGTAACAGTTCCTGTTTAACACACTAGCGCGGCATGGGGGTTGCCAGGTTTGGATGGTTACTCTCGCCGATTTTTTTTTTCTTGAAAGAGCTTGTAGGTACTAAAGAACAGAATCATGATAGCCCAAGTTGATTACATTACGTTTTTTATGCAAAAAATCATTCGGTTTTTTTTTTTGTTTTTTTGGGCATTCTCATTGTTGCACGTATTAGGTTGGCAAAATCTTGCGCTAGGCACCCCAGGGAGTCATGTGCTGAATTGTGTACTTTGATGTAGTGGTTGAAGGAACACATCCAACCATTTTCTACCACCTTAATCCATTTTCTGTAAGGGGGGTGGCCAGAGATGCCACCCAGTACACAAAATTAGCACCACCCCACACTGATCCTCCTGCAGGTGGAAGTCCACAGAGGATGGCCGCACCGCCCTATGGCATAGCTTGATCTTTCCCAGTGGCTTCAGGCCAAAGGGGTGTTAAGTGTCCTTGGGCCCAAGGACACAAACGACAGCAGTCCATCAGTGGAGTAGGTGAAGAAGGTCTTAATAAAGCTGTGTCAGCTAACAGTTGAACCTGATGAAATTCACACAACAAATAGAACAAAGTTCATCTTTTACTTTTACATTGTACAAGGAGAATGCTTGACAGAGGCAAGGCACAGACCCAAGCCTCTCTCAGGACAAGGTCTGAAATTCACAGTCTGCAAGCCCCTTTTGGTAGAGCAAGACACACCTTCGTATCAATGGGATACGGAAGAACCAACACAACAAAAGACACTTAGCATAAAGCTCCCCAGTACGAAGAAACAAGCGTAAAAGCTGCCTCACGCTCCCCCGGTGTCTCCTGAAGCTAAAGTGGTATTACTATACAGAGCAATTCAACACATAGCCACATAATGATTTACCAAAAGATAAATTAAGTTACATTCCAATATCAGTCTCCTGGTGGGCTCGAACCCACACCTTCAGGCTCAAAGGCCCATATCTCTACAACTAGTTTCTGTCGCCCAAGAAAACAGACAAGTTTATTCCATCACATACAAAGGATCGTTTTTACAAGGCCCCGCCTTCTGAAATGTATCCACTATGGGAATAGGCCCCTACGTGTGAGAAATGCAGCGATCTACAAGGGTCGGCGAGGTCAGCTAATGCTCTCCCTTCCGCGGTGGTGCACCCTCTCCCAAGCTTGGGTCCTACTACCTAGAGGCCTTGAGCTTGAGGGTTTCTCTCACAATATCTTTCTGTTCCTAGCACTAGCACATTTCTGACCAAGAATCTGCTGTAGCCACTCCTCCAGCCTCAATGTTTCACGCCCCGAGACACCGATCACGCCCATCTTTCAACCTTTGAACACTTTTTTACATATTTCTATCTGAACGTTACCACGCTGAATGCCCACTCCACCACGGTTTTCATCTGCCCTTTCCTACCACTACAATGTCAGGTTGGTTCGCCATTACCATTTCAGTCGGTCAGTATCGTGAAGTCCCACAGAAACAAAAAAAAAAATATTTCTTTTGGCCCACGCTCACTTTTCCCACAACCCGTTGGAGAAGTTTCCATTCCGCACATATGTTCCTGAACACTATTATCAGCGCTTGTTATGCCATTCCATATAGCCTTCCCTGCCATCCTCTTGCGCCCTGCAATTATGTTGTGATCGCTCAGGTCCACCTTTGCACAAACCGACACCTGGCTTGTCTGATGTGGTATATCTACTAATAATGACCTGTAGAACGTTTTGAAATTACATTCATAGCAATGAGTGATCTACGCTGCTGTTGTGAGGAGCCCTGTAATAGATATAACCCCAGAAATAAACCAATCAGACATAGAGCACCTGTGACATCCAAAACATTACTGCAGGGTGAAATATGCCTGCAGGAAAGCTATATGGAATGCATAACCAAGCGCCTGATATAGTGTTTCAGGAACAATCTGTGCGGAATGGGAAACTTCTCCAACGGTTGAAAATGAGCGTGCAAAGATTCTGTGGGGCTTCCAGATACAGACCTGACTGAATGGTAATGGCGAACCAACCTGACATTGTAGTGGTATGCTAAGGGCGGATGAAAAACCGTGGTGGACGTGGGCATTCCAAGCGATGTACATTCAGACGAAATATGTACAATAGTCAAAGTGCAAGTTGGAGTATCGGTGTACTCGGGGCAGTGACCCTGAGCTGGAGGAGTGGCTACAGCTGATTCTTGGTCCAAAATGTCAAGTGCTAAGGAACAGAAAAAAGATATTGTGAGAACCCTCAAGCTCCCAGCCTCTGTAGAGACCCAAGCTTGTAGAGGGATCACCAACCGCGTAAGGTGGCTTAGCCTGCCTCTCCCGCCCAGAACCCTAGAAGATCGCTGCATTTCTCACACAGTTCTGGGCCTCTTCCATAGGGATACATTTCAGAAGGCGGGCATTGTAAAAAAGATCCTTGTATGGATTGATAAAGTGACTGTTACTTGCGACAGAACCTCAGTTGGTGAGCATTGCCTTTGAGCCGAAGGCGGGTTCTGCCCACCAGGAACTGATATTGGAATGTAACTTAATTTATCATTTTGAAATCATATTGGCTATGTGCTGAATGCTCTGTATTGTAATTCACCTTTACTTCAGGAAGAACACGGGAGTCTGGGACTTTTATGCTAAGTGTCTTTTGTTGTTGTTTCTTTCCTTTCCATCGCATACGGAAATGTGTGGCTTGCTTCTACCAAAAGTGGGCTGGCAGACGTGAATCATTTCAGACTTGTCCTGAGAGAGGCAGGGTCTGTGCCTTGCCTCTTTCAAGACATATCTCCTTGGTACAAAGTAACAAGTAAAAGATTAACTTTGTCTCTTGTTGTGTGAATTTCATCAGTTCAACTGTAGCTAAAACAGCTTTATTAAGACCTTCTCCACCTACTCCCACTGATGACTGTGTTCAGTTGTGTCCTTGGGCAAGACACTAACCCCAACTTTGCCTGAAGCCCCCACTGGAAGATCCAGGCTATGCATAGACTGGCGACCATCCTCCTGTGGGACTCACCACTGCAGGAGGGATCAGTGAGTGGCTGGTGCTATGTGTACTGGGTGATCTCTGCCACCCCCCCTTCCCAGAAATGGATTAAGGGGTAGAAAATGGATGGATGTGTTCCTTCACCACTTCACATCAAAGTACACAATTCACATAACATACTCCAATGGTGCCATAGCCGCAAGATTTTCCAACCTAAACTTGCATAATTGCCCAAAAAAACCAAAAAAACACCCAGAATGATTTTTGCCTAAAAACGTAATTAATCATCCTGGGCTATCATGATTCTGTTCATTTATTACCTCCCTCTTTACAAAAAAAAAAAATGTCGGGTAACATCCAACCTGGCAACCCTGCCGCGTAGTTGTTGTAAAAGGAACATTTTACTAAACATATCACATAGAACCATCGACCATCTTTGCTCATATTGCATAAAAGTGACATCTGTGTCCTTGCTCTCTCTCTCTCTCTCTCTCTCTCTCTCTCTCTCTCTCTCTCTCTCTCTCTCTCTCTCTCTCTCTCTCTCTCTCTCTCTCTCTCTCTCTCTCTCTCTCTCTCTCTCTCTCTCTCTCTCTCTCTCTCTGTCTCTCTCTCTCTGTCTCTCTCTCTCTCTCTAAATAAATAAACAAATGTTGCTGTTTCTTTGTTTTTGTTTTTTCCCCCCAATAACACCCAGTTTTAAACCATAAACATCGTCCCAGAGCAGCTGAGGGTGTCTTGTTTATGTTCGTGTCCGACCTCTTGACCCCACAGGTCACGTCTATGAACATTCTAGGGTTTCTCTTTTTCTCTTTGTCTGTCTTTTAGATATGGCTCTTCCGCTCTGGCTCCACAACAATGTTAAGACAAATACTGGAACTGACAAGGACACATTTAATCTGTATTCAATATGTCTGTAAATTTAGGATTCCATCATCATCACGGCAAACTGAATGGCTGTTCTTGTTTGTTGTGGTGTCTATAATGGAGGTGAAGCTCTTCAGAATCTATCTATATATCTATATTTCACTACTATTTTGAGTCGATGAGGTTAATGTCCAATACAACATTGTCATCAACTGGATGTCTAAGCAAATAGAGCACAATTACACAAATCACTATTCCGGGAAGAGTTAAATACTTGCTCAATATTTTTTCAGAGAGAGACAGAGATATGTACAACATTAAAATGAATTAAAACAAAAAATCTTCATAGGTCTTGACAACCGGTGCAATCATCGGGTTCGTCGGCAGGGGGCAGTCTGTCACTTTTATTTCTGTTCGCACTTGGAAACTTGTTTTATAAAATATGCTACATAAATAAAGTAGGTTGGATCATCATCATCATCATCATCATCATCATCATATGCCTTGGTCTGCAATTCCCAGGTTTTTCGGCAGGGGGCACTCATCAGCAACATGAGGAAATAAACACAACAATAACACGTGCTGCAGTAGTGTCATTGCAGCAGTGGGGAGAGGTCCCGGAGGCTGGGACAGGCCACGGAGCTCAGATGACATAGTTTAACCCGTAATTTTAGCGGCCCTTCCCAGTAAAATTGATGAATTCTATTGTTGGCTGATTTTGACGTCAGGCTTAGTCCCGCCCCCTTCTCAATATGCAGCAGTGAAAGCTCAGAGACAATCTGCTGAGATCAGACGCTGCTGCTGCTGCTGCTGGGGTGCTGCTTCTCTCTGCTCGGGGTTTGATGAAGGGAACCCTCACCTCCGACTGGGATCAAAGAAAACATGCCCAACTGGAGGCTCATGCTGCTGGATGCGCCTGAACCGGGGGCTGGAAGTGTGTGCAATCCAAGGATGTAGAGTCACTTGTCACTTGTACGTATCCCCCCCACAGTCCCACCGCTGAGTTCATTGTTGTGGTCCTCCATGATCCTGGACGTGGCCCCCGGGGGAAAAGATGTTGAGCCGGTTTAAAAGCGGCAGCATTAAGAATCTGGAGCGAGAATACAGCTGCACCGTGAGACTGCTGGACGACACCGAATACACATGCACCATCCAGGTAAGGCACCTGTTCCCTCTGCACCACTGAGAGAGACTAGTTCTGCCATAGCACACCTTGTACAACTGTGATGAAGAGGAAGATGAAGCCTGCTGATGCCCGTGTTGGAGCTGTGTTGCCTGGACTTGTTGTGGGCTTGTGATTGTTTCTCCTCAACGCTTTCAATAATGCACAAGGTGTCGTGTTGCTATACTCTGTGGGTTTTTTTTAAGTAGACAGTCTGTCACAAAACCTCCACTTTCACATTTATGATGGGTTTAGGTTTGTCAGAAATGGCCTATGCTTGCTCCTCGTCCTCCTGTATTCTCCTCTCCTCTCTTTTAACAGTCCCCTCTTGTAGACCCAAGTTCCCCAGTCTCTTGTTTCTGTGGTAAGGTTGAGGGATTCATAAAAGAGAAGCCCCAAACTGGTTGTGATGATTGGACCTAAGAGACTTGAGGATGCCCTAGTCCAGGAGTGGGCTATATATTCTTTTCATATTATTACACTGGGATATTGCTCGATTGCAGAGGGGTGTACCCAATTTCATGTAGATATTTTTTAAATATTTAATGGAGTAAAATTCAACTAGTAGTATCAGAGTTTAAAAAATATGCATACACATTTATTTTTATTTATTTAACACACATGAATATATCAAGTGTTTTCTTGGTGGACATCTTCTTTTAGAGCAAATTATTACCAATAATATTTTGGGTTAATTACTGATGGACGGATGGTAGCACATTTAAAGTTACAAGGCTGCATTGTTAGTATAATGAATATTGAGCCCGAGACTAAACCCACAGAAATGAGTCAGTCTTCTAAAAGCAAGGCAAGTTTATTTGTATTGAAAAATTCATACACATGGGGACTCAATTTGCTGAACACAATAGGATAGAAACTATAACACAAGTAAGTAAGTAAGTAGTATTAAATCATCTTTATGTATATACCGCCTTTCACAGACCAGAGTCACAAAGCGGTTTACAATTGTTATTTTTGGGCATTAATAATCACAGTACATTAAAAAGAGTGAAGCTAAAATCCCTCAGTGGTAGCACAGCTAAACAGAACTGTTTTTAACCTGGATTTGAACATTGTCAGAAAAGAAGCCTGTCTCACTTTTTCAGGAAGACTGTTTCAGATTTTAGCTGCATGAATCTGAAATGCTGCCTTCACATTTTTAGTTCTGACTCTAATTAAACAAGTGATGAGAAAGAGGGAGAGAAGGAGATAGAGAAGAGCAAATCCAAGATGCAATGACAGTGGCATGGACTAGGGTTTTTACTTCTTTCCCACTCCATTTTTGAGCTGACAAATTGTAAATGGATATGCATTTGTAAATACATATTGAAATAGTAAAAATACAACACATGGTGAAACCTGATTGTATATTTATGTTTATATAATCGCATGTGTAAGTAATAAGTATATACTGTAAGCTCAAAAATTTAAATATTGTAAATACTACTGAATGTATGAATTCTGCTTGAATGAATGGAATGAATCAATCAGACTAATACGCAATCAGATGCACATCCCATGGGCGATGATCGTACTATAATGACAATGTAATAGAAATCATTAGTGCTGGTGAGAAGTGCACGCTGCTCTTATAATGCGGTGAGTTTGTCCTTGTGAAACCCACACAGTTTTTTTGTGGGAAAGTTCTGGGAGTGGGTCAACACAGCACTTGAGAATATTTGGGACTCGCTGTCTCCCAGGTGACTCCAGCTTCTGTGGGAGGATTCTCTTTGTAAAGGCTGAGCTCAAACGCAGCTCAAACGCAGCTCTGTAGTGTGTCAGTGAAGACGAGTTGGGTCTCTGTGTGTCACAACTATTTCTGCCAATCTCAGATCCTGCAGAAGTGTCTGCGTCCTTGTTTTTCTCTCACTCCTCCAGTGTCAGAGCTCAGTTTATTTGATAACTCTTCTCATCTCTGTCAACGGATTCTCCACTGGTTTCTCTGTTTTCTAATCTAGACTATATGGATATCAGGGCCACAGCATTATGCTATGATCACTATATTTTAGGTATATGTTTTATAAATCTATCCTACAATTTTTGGACAATTCACAGTTGGCCTTCAGTATTATGGGGATGTTCATTTCTAGTTTTCAAAAATAATAATTGAGTAGCATTCTATTGAAAAGCAAAGTGCTGAACAGGCAGTTGGATGTGTCAGCAGCACCCTCTGCAGAGCTTTGACCGGTCGTCATATGCAATTGGGATTATTTTCCCATACAAGATGTTTCTTACGTAACCAGAGCAAGAGGATTATGGAATATGAGCAGAAACACTCTGGTTCTTACTAATGCATTGTATTATTGGTCAGTGTTGAAACATAAATGAAGTCAAGAGAAAATGTATATGCTTCAATTTGTCCTTTTTACCATGTAGGTTTTTGAAAAGCCAGATGTATACAGTTTTACCATTTCTTGAACAAATTCTTCCACATTTACTGCCAATGACAAAACATGTTAAAGGAAGAGGAATACAACGTTTGGACACATTTTCATACAGAGATAGTTGTTTTTGCAATTGAACTCGTATATTGTCACCATCTTTCTCTTAAAATGCTGTCCTCCGCCAAGAATCCCAGTTCCCTTCTTTATCAAACTTCCTGGTTCCAGACGGTGATCAGGATCACCTCCAAAATCTATTCATATTTTCCTTGTCTCATTCTTGAGATTTACTGTAAATGTCATTCAAATCTGCCCATTACTTTTTGAGTTAGGTTGAAATAACAAACAAACCCTGTAAGCCCAACCTCCTTGTTGTGGGCTGTCATAGGGGACTGAGGGGGTCTGAGACTGGGTTGTTAAAAACGTGCGGCTGCATACTGTGGAAGCTGCTGGGCCCATGTGGCACAAAGACACAGATCCTTAACGGAGACATGCATTCTCTCGGAAACTCTCTGCTCAAGTTACATGGTGCATTTCCTCGAGTTCTCCTCTGCTTCTTGTTATCGTTTCCTCATCATGGTATTGCTAAACCGGAATCGTACACTGATTTGACTCCTTTTAAAGAGCTACAGGAAGGTTTTTGAGATGCAACAGGACACACATCCTGAAATGAGATTGGTTCAGATTTTGTCCTGTCTTTAGAACAGTGTGTGTATCTCACTGTCCGTATTAAAGGATCAACGTAGAATACAGAATGGTTTAAAAAGTGAAAGTACTGCAGTTATAACTTAACGTGCTGCAGATACAAGATACATGTTGTTGCTGCTGAATTATGAACGATCTCAATTTCTGAAGTTTAGGTTAAGGCAAAAGACAAAGAAACCCAAATGCAAAGTTCATTCATACAGCTTTTTGATAGGATACTTTTTTGCAAACATTAACAATGTGACCACCGTGGTAATTGTATAACAAGTTCTATTTGATTTGAACCTTTCCTCACGGCTAGGGACACACAGCCATTTTTTTGTAATTCAAAATCTTGCATGCGGTTTATTTGTCTGGTTTAATGCCAGGTTTGGTCCTGGATGAGACAGGGAAATAAACAAAAACAGGTAAAACATTTGTGTAATTTCTTTCTTGTCATTCTGCTCTTGTACTTTTTAACAGTCCGTCTTGGTAACCCACCTCAGCACTGCCTCCTCCACAGCAGAGATGTGGCAGAGCGGCCCCCTGCCCCGTCCCCAGGACCAAACAAAGGGCTCTTTGAGCTGTGCTCCTTTGTGTTGCAGGAGAACCCTTCGCGCAGCTCTGTGCTTAAACAGCATTTACTGTTTGAGTGTTGGCTTGGGCCTAGTCTGTAAGCACAGAAGCACAGAAGCATAGACTGGACCATTTTCTCACTCATGTCTGAAAGTTGATTATTGTGCGGCTCAAACAAATGCCAAATATACACAAATTCTTTATTACATGTGCAGAATGTGTTTGTCATCATGCTCCTAAAAACTGTTCAATATTTATGTATTTGCTGATCTGCTCTATCCACAGCGTGACGCAAAGGGACAATACTTATTTGACTTGATCTGCCTGCACCTTAATCTGCTGGAGAAGGACTACTTTGGCATCAGATATGTGGATCCAGATAAACAGCGGGTGAGACCCGTGTCTATAATCACTGCTCATACATCTGTAGTTATAGATGCATTTTTATACTTGTAATTATAATGGTTAATGAAATGTATCTTGAAACACTGACAATGTCATAGTGATGATAAATGAAAATTGAATAAATGGAGGTGAATTAGGAATATTCTTACATTATGCTTACCTTACTGAGTGGATATTTTCCACCTGGAGAGTTCTACCCTTTCGGAAAACCATCGTGGGAGGTGATGATTTTCACCTCCGACGCTTCTCACTCTGCATCACACTATACACAGGCTGAAGGCCAAACATGACAACATCATCTGTAAAAAGAAGCGATGAGAGATGAGAGATGCACATTCTGTAGGAACAGATGCAGTGGAGAAGGGAAGCTCCTACATGCACTGGAGACGGAGGCCGATCAAAAGGCCCACTTCCAAAATCATAAATGACACGGCTCTATATCTAAGCAGCTTTGCTCTTACTGAAATCCCACTATATAGAAAGATTATCTGGTTTAAGCTGTATTTGAATTTTTTTAGATGGATGGATAGAAATACTTTATTAATCCTTCAGGAAATTCAGAACACTATTTTTTTGTTATTGATTGTAGAAGTCCTCTATCTCATATTCAGTTTCAGGGCTCCACCTTTGCTCTGTTTCATATAACATTTCTGGAAAAAATTTGCAGTAGTGTTGGTTACGCTCCGTCGTACTGGGTTGAAAAGACATCTTGAGTCTATCAGAGAAGCTGGTGCCACATCAGCAGCTCATTCAGAGAGTAGCTGCGGTTGTCGATGAACAACACAGAGTCCTGATTGACTCACTGACCAGGTTTTTCATTCAGCCTGCCCAGTCTGTGTTCCCTCTGCCACATGTTCCCAAACAGACCACCCCGTAGCACACAGCAGTGGGCACTACTTGCTGCAGTGGTGGTCGTCAACCGGACGCGTTATCTGTCCGTGAGGTAGTTTGTGATCCAGGGCACAAGGGATGAGTCGACCTGCATGCTGGTTTATCCTTTAGCAGCAGTGCATGTCTTGTGCTGATTATCATTGTGCAGCTCTCCCTCTCCCTCTGCGTGAGGCCCCGGTGCAGCATGTACAGTGCAGTGTCCTCCACTCCCACGCTCTTCCTGTTGTAGGGATCTTGAGCCGCCTGCACCTGAGGTGAGGATGAGCAACTGAGGACATCCTGCTTCCACAAGCGCCAAGTTTTATTAGGCACAGAATTTAACATTTATATTGTTTTGTGTATTGTGTACAGAGTAGAGCATTGTTGTCAGAGTAGATCTCTACATGCTTCACCTTCTGATGCATGTTTTCAGGGCATATATATTATATACATAATATATTTATTTTTAATTTCCTCTTTTTCTTTTGTCTATGGCAGCACTGGCTGGAACTCCCTAAATCCATTGCAAAGCAGATGAAATGTAAGTTCTACAAAGTTTGTACGATCTGTGTCCCAGTCTGTAACCGTAATTTGATATGGCGTTTAAGGAATGTTTCAGTCATCTTAAAGAATATATGAGTACGTAACAATGTGAGTAACCTTCATCACTATCGTTGTTTTGTACCTAATCCTCCTCTAGATCAGCCTCCGTTCACCATGTGTCTCAGAGTCAAGTTTTACCCTCCGGAGCCGGCTGTTCTGCGAGAGGAAATCACCCGGTCCGTCCACATACAACACTTAAAAACAAAACACAGCAGTAGTTTGCAATCACATTAATGGACTTCACTATTACTAACTGGTCCATCATTGGATTATAGTTATGCCCTTGTAAAGTCCCAGTTATTACAATTAACATTATAATTCCCCGACTTCACTGATGACAGAAGTACTCCAACATTAAGCCTGCAGATCTGAGCTCCGAATGTGCTTTTGTAGATATCTCGTCTTCCTCCAACTCAAGAGAGACTTGTACCACGGGCGGCTGCTGTGTAAAAGCTCCGAGGCGGCCTTGTTAGCTGCCCACATCCTTCAGGGTAACTACACTCTGCACTCATTTAAGACGTCTCCTCGGGCTGGGTGTGCGAGCGCCAGGTTCATTATAACAAAATGAGGCGTCTGTCACTTTGCACTCTCACACGGCACATGCACGCACATACGCACAAACACACGCACACAGATCTACAGAAAGACAGGGACTGACATGTACACACAGATATAGGGACAGACATATATAATAATAATAATAATAATATTATTAATACTAATACATCGGTTTTATATAGAACTTTTCAAAAACTCACACACACACATTTAGACAGACACACAAAACGAAAAATCTAAAAGGAAAGAAGAGTACAAAGCTGAAACTAAGAGTCATATGTTTGGAGGAAGAGGTGAGTTTTTAGCTGTTTTTTGAAGGAGTTTAGTGAGTCAGAGTTTCTGAGATGAGGGGGGAGAGAGTTCCAGAGAGTGGGAGCAGAGATGGCGAAAGCTCGGTCCCCCAAGGTTTGATGCTTAGATTTGACAGTGGGAGTGAGGAGATGTGAGTCTGCAGATCAGAGTCGACGGGAGGGACTGTAGGGCTGTAGAAGTTCAGTGAGGTCTAGAGTGAGGTTATGGAAGGCTTTGTAGGTGATGAGGAGGATTATGGGGTGACAGTGGCTCAGTTGGTAGAGCATTTGCCTTTGAGCTCGAAGGTCGTGGGTTTGAGCCCACTGCGAGACCTTCTCTACCGACTCCATTGATGTCAGCTGTCGTTGTGTCCTTGGGTAAGACACTTAACACACTTTGCCTATAAGGAGCGCGGAGGTGATGTTCGCTGCTTGTCTTGATGTGTATGCATCAAACTGAAATTTCCCCATTGTGGGACGAATTAAGGACCTTCTTCTTCTTCTTAAATGGATGCGCTGTTTGATGGGGAGCCAGTGGAGTTTATGAAGGACAGGGGTGATGTGTTCTCTGGAGCGGGTCTGAGTGAGGAGGCGGGCGGCAGAGTTTTGGACATATTGCAGTTTTTGGAGATCAGATGAAGGAAGGCCGTATAAAAGACTGCTGCACACACACACACGCACACACGTACATACACAAACACACACATACACACACATATATGCACACACATGTACGCAGGACATACAGACCCATAAAGCGCACAATCCCTCCTGTAGAACTTCACTTCAAAGTTGAACGTGAGACTGAGAATGTTGTATCAATCCACAGGGGAAATGAATGTGTTACTGAAATATAAAACATTTAAACTCTCACATGAACTGGATGTGTGCGACCAATGTCCCGGCTATAAGCAGCAGCGTTCATGAATAATTTGTATAAAACTGCCCCTTGAGATAAGACCCGTTCCTTGTGACATGGTCTGTTTTGCTCCACAGCTGAAATAGGCGATTACGACCCCGGGAAGCATCCTGATGGCTACAGCTCCAAATTCCAGTTCTTTCCCAAACACTCGCAGAAGCTGGAGCAGCGCATTGCAGAGACGCACAAAAGTGAACTCTGGTTAGAGCCTCCTCCACCATCACCACAGCAGATGAGCATATGCTGGAGTAGTCTTTCTCAGCTGTGCATGTTTTAAGGAAGGCATGTCAAACTCTGGCCATTTAGCCCACAAGACCATTTTTAGTGGCCCCTGAAATGATTTTGCTTGATCATTATAACAGTAAATTGCAGCATCGATGGTAAAGTAGCCGCATTGATGGTAATGGGATACTATGACATGTTAAACTTGTCAAACACCTATTCAATTTAATTTGTTCTAAAATGTTAACTAAGACGTTGAAGAAGATGGACAAAGTCTGGAATTGTGTCTTTAATTCAGAAAGAAGACATGTTTTATTGTTGTTGTTTGCTAGAGACAGCACAGAATGTATGTGATATTGCACAGCATGGAGGAATGGAGACCTCCAATCAGCTTTTGCCACGGTGCCAGTAGCTTCAACCTTGAGATGACCAAAACATGCTGTGGAAAAATACTGGCTTGTGCATATTGTTGATTGATGAGATAGATCTTTAACCACAATTGCTTCAAAATGTCATGAAATCTCAAAAATGTAATTAGAAGTTAAGTTTAACTAGAAATCTTAATTAAAACCAAATATATGTTTGAATATTTGTCCCAGTTGTTATTGAATCCAAACCTACTAGAAAATAATATCTAAAGGAAATGAATTTTTCAAAAAAGAAAAAGATAAATCACAGAGCTCCAACCAGTTCTTATGTTTTTAACCTTGGCCCTGACCAAAACGAGATTGACCCCCTGCCTTAAGTCCTATAAGACTCTGCTTCCCTTTAGTGGTATCCTGTCACTTATCCTGCCTGTTATTTTGCATTATATAGAGTATTATAATTTATCATATTAATCATAAACCTGATAAATATGGAATAGCTTTGCGGTGTAAGACTGTCAAATATCAACCCAGACCATGATCCTTTCTGTGTTTTCTTAGTGGACAGACATCTGAAACAGCAGAGAGGAACTTTCTCCAGAAGGCTCAGATGTTGGAGACCTATGGTGTGGATCCGCACCCGTGCCTGGTAGGAGCAGACTCGTCTCAAAACCCGGCTGTCCGCACTCATGTGATGTCACTGAACTTTGACCGTTTTTGTAGGATCTCTATGGAAACGCAGCCTTCCTCGCCTTCACCCCGTTTGGCTTTGTTGTGCTTCAAGGAAATAAGAGGGTTCACTTTCTGAAATGGTAAACTTTCAACATTATCTGTGACTAAGACTAAGATGAAGATTAAGAATTCCTTTATTTCAGTTTTGCATCACCAGTTACAGAACAGTAGGAATGAGTAGCAGCACACAGTACAAGATATATTAACAATAACTCTACACTAAATAAAATACAAATCTCTAAATCTAAAAATAAACAAGTTTAAAATCTTTAGCATAATGAGTACTAAAACTCTGACATTTTTTCATAATGAATGAGTATAAAATCCCTACCTTATTTACTCACGTCTTGATTTGTTTCTTAAAGACTTAAAACATGTTAAATTCCTATGAAAAGACAACTGACGGCAATACAGCGTTGGCACACGACCAAAGCAATTGTTATTTGTGTGTCTCTGCAGGAGCGAGGTGACCAAGATGAAATTTGAAAGCAAGACGTTCCACTTGTACGCTCATCAGAACGAGGTGAGGCACGAGGACACTGGACTCTTACTGTTGCTGCAGCTCCGTGTTTTAAAGCGTGTTGTTTGCAATAGGACAGAAAGAGTGTGTTAACTTACTTCGCCCCCACACCAGAGGCCTGCAAACATCTGTGGAAGTGTGGAGTGGAACACCAGGCCTTCTACAAGTGAGTGGTTCTTATGATGATGCACTCTTTGTATCTGGATCTAATCTTTTTGTAATTGTATTTTCATTGCTGCTATTTAATACTGTAAAGGTATTTTGAATTCCTGTTGTGAATTTTTCTTGGGCCGAAATTCACCTATTTCAGGGATTCATCACACATCACAGTACAAATGTGCCCTGTAATGTGTAAGAATAATTATATAATTGAGTGGTGATGATCCAGGACTCTTGACATTCAACAACATTTATTGACATTTATCAACACTTGGACATTGGTTGTCTGCCCCTAATGGACCAATACCAATGTCTTTTCTCTTCTATTTCTTGTGTTTGTACCGTCCTCTAATTTGTGTTGGCGAATTCAACATTTTGTAAAGTCCTAATAGTAACAGTTGTGATTTAGGGCTATACAAGAATAAATTGAATTGAATTGAACTGAATAACTTCTGCTCATGTCCTCTGCTAGGCTGGAGAGGTCCAGTCAGATCCGCACTGTGTCCAGTAGCAATCTGTTCTTCAGAGGAAGCCGCTTTCGCTACAGGTAACCAATGATATTGTACTGTCATGTTGTAGTTGTGTCCCTGTCCAGAAGGGGGCAGCTTGTTTGTAAATACTGTACTTGTAGGTGGCTTGGAAAGATTAGAAAATTGTAACATAAATAACAAAGAAGACAACAAGAAGTCTGTGTAAAATTAGAAACAATTTCTTAATAGTTCTTAAGCTTGTTTTAAAAAAGTGTTTTCTTTGACAGTGGACGAGTAGCTAAAGAAGTGATGGAGCAGAGTGCCAAAATAAAACGCGAGCCTCCGGAAATACACAGGTACTGTAGAGCAGCTTCCAGTTCCCTGTTTCAAGTCAAATACAACTATTAACTCTTCTCTGTCATCAGACCTGGCCTCGTGCCAAGTAGAAGCTGTCCTTCCATCACACACGGCCCCCGCCTCTGCAGTGTGCCGCGTACGAGGAGGAGGGCCGTGCACATATCTATCATGGAGGGTGAGAACGAACACAGAGCTGTAATATGCGAAAAACACCTACTCAATAAACCACAATCACAGTACTACTCATTCATCTTAACTCTCCTGTGTTCTGTAGCTTTCACCAAACTCCCATACAGCCCTTTGGCGCTTGCCCACACATTCACTGTTTGTACAAGACACATTTAGCTGCGTCACGGAGGCTCTGCTCTGAAGCCAGGTGTGTGTGTCACTCACTCAGGCCGAGAGGACTGAGAGAGCTGAGAGCTGCGATCCGAGCCTCCTCCCCCAGTGTGGAGGCTGGATATCTTGAGTGGTATAAATACTACAACCTAAAATAGCCAGGGTCTTCCTCTCCATGTATGTAGCTGCCAGGGGAGGGTCTAAGCCAGGCCTCGTCCTCTCAGTCCGCTGCTAGTGTAGAGTGCAACCGCTTGACCTCTTGCTCTGTAGCATTTTCTGACCTAATTAATATTTTTGCGGGGAGACTGCGGCCTGGACTGGCCTTTGGGACCATCAGGAAGGATTTGAACACATTGCAGCCATGGTCAAGTGTTTGATCCGTATCACCACCCGGGTGAACGTGCACCTGCGCATGATCAACCACTGTTATCGCGATGTGAAGGTCCGAGTGCTGAGTCTCGGGCCCCGTTTGCTGGGGAAGGCTCTGGGCGTTCTCCCTCTGTACCCTGCTCTGACCGGGCAGGAGTCGTCTGGAACATCCCCCCTCCCCTGTTGTCCGCTCCCAAACACTCTGCCAGTTCAGGCCAGCAGTGCTCCAGGTAAAGTTTAAACTCGACTGTTATACAGTGGAATATGGTGGGGATGTGGCTGTATGTGTATTAAAAGTTCATGGCATTATTATTATTATCAATTTTATCATTATTATATTTTTAGGAAAATTTACATCATATTTACTTACATTAAAAGGTTATTGAATTGATTGTTTTTCTATAACTTCTAGTGAAATTCTTATATATTACAATCCTATATTATACCTTTCGATTTAATCATCAGTTGGTCATAATGCCTGATCTTGATTCCCTTGAATATATAGAATCAACATGATTTATATAATTAGATATGAATAAATTCTTTATTTATTCCACAAAGGGAATTTCTAGTGCCCAGTACAGGTGTACAGTAAAATCAAACATGGTAATAAACATCAAAATAATCTACAATCCTTTTCAGTGATTGTTCAATAGACCTGTGTTCAATGTAAAAAGTACACCTTTAAAACATTGAACGCATTTTCTAATATATTTAGGTAAAACTCACCATCAACTTTGGCCATGTATAAAATGGATATCAATATTTTATGGAGCCAAATTTAATTCCTTAAAATCTTGAAACATTTTCATTGTCGGTTAACAATATTTCACAAACTATGAATTAGCTTTGACATTATGGTGCAACAACAAGTGATGAAATAGTATTAGATATTGCTATTTTATTATCACAAGGCATACTTAAACAGACATTTTCTTATGATTTCTAAAACATAAACATACAATAACATGTCAACAGTGCAAAGCTTGTGCAAGTGTTAGATTTCGAAAGTATTACAAAAAATTATTATAGTGACATCTGAATTTTTTTATTTTGCCACTCCATTTCTTTTGCAATTGGAAACTTGAGGAAATCTAGAGAATCTAGATCTAGATCTAGATCCAACCTAGATCTAGATTCTAGATCAAACACTTAAAAACTTTTTCTTTTTTTAATAAAGAAAAGTTTCATTATAGACTGTATTTAAGTTAAAACACACATTTTGTTCTGCGATATGTTGTAAATGAAACCTTGTATTTTCCATCTGAATTGTTTGTGCAGGGTTGGAGTCATTGCGGGACAGTGCCCACTCCACTCCGGTGCGTTCAGTGTCCCACACAGAGTCGTTCATCCCACGCTCTCGGAGTCATGCGTCCGACGGTGACGGTCTGGCGGTGATCTCTGACCAGACGTACAGCCCCTCAGAGAGTGTCCTGCCCACCCCTGTGACTGACCAGAGCTCGGACCCCTGTGCGCCCCGCCTCGTCAACGGAGCCCCCTGCAGCATCGAGGAGGAGCGAGAGTCCGAGGCCGGGACCCCCACAACTGCAGAGGCCCCTGTGCTGGAGGAAGAGCCTCCGAGGGCCCTGACTGACGTGGAACAGGCCAACAAGTTTGTACTCAGCGTGTTGCGCCTCCTGCTGGTCACTCTCAGCCTGCTGCTGGTCTTGTTGCTGCTTCTCATCATCCTCACTGAGTCAGACCTGGACATTACTTTCCTGCGGGACATCCGACAAACTCCTGAATTCCAACAATTCCATTTTGAGTACTTCTGCCCGCTGCGCCGCTGGGCCGCCTGTCAGCTGCGCTGGGTGGGCTCTCTGCTCATCAAAGACGTGTGACACTTTATCAGAGACAAAGGGGATATCGCCTCCCTCAGCCCCATTCTGGGTATTTATAGAAATATCAGTCATCTCATTTCAGGTATTTTTTTACAACTCAAATAACTGAATACAAACAGTTTCTTTGAAGAAACAACATTTTTACATCTGTAGATGTTATTTATTTTTTATTGTAATATTTAATCTTGTGTATATTTTGTTAAGAGAGTAATATAATTGTTTGAATGCAAAAGAGAATGTTGATCAATGGATAAGTTGAGTTTGGCAAGTCAGTGTTTAAAGCGAAGATTGTTATAAGTTATATTGGATACTTACCTGTGAACAGTATTTAAAACAGTGTAATTAGGGATGCACTGATACGATACTGGTGCCGATGCTTGAAAGCTTGTTGGATTGGTTTAAAGATCTCTGTTAAGTCGATTCCCTGATTTTGCCTGTTAGTTGTTGTAATAAAACTCTTAAGTAGCAGATCTTATCCTAGTCATAGTTTTAACTTACTCAAAGAAAGTTCTTTTGTTGTTACTTTCAGGCTAATAGTTAAACAACACAATGCAAATGATATTTTCCTTCTCTGGCCTCCTATGATCTCTAGGTTCATACCTGGCATTAGCATATACTGAAAGCCATGGTATCAAGCTCAGTATCGGACATAAAAAAGGTATCGGTGCATCCCTATTTGTAATCCCAACATGATTATAGCCATAGCTCAGTTTGTGAAAGCAGCAGTGTTGCAAAAAGCTGCGATTGCTCAGTGTGAGGGGTAAAGGTAAAAGTGACGATTAGTGATGGACTTGGGGATGATGCTCGCGTGTTTTTTCTGTGGGTTAGTTATTAAAAATGTTTTAACACTCTCAAAATAGTCCTTGAGTGGCTGTAGTGCCAAATGCTTGAAAGATGCACGTCTTCAGATGTGCGTCCCAATTAGTGGGTAAAGTGTCTCTAGAAACTAGTTTTGTAGTTATGCAGCAAGTTGAGTGGTCATTAGGAACAACATCAAAGCCTCGTGGGACAGATCTAATGAGTTTCTGGAACGTGTAGTTTTTACTCAAAGGAGGTTCACGTGATAAATGTGACATGATGAAAGGCAATAAGGTTTTTCTTTTTATACACTGCCCACATTTCAAAAACTAGCAAACAATACTTTTTATCCAGATTTGTAAAACAATATTTTCACATAGAATCTCAGGATTTGTATCCATTAATAATTGAATTAAATAATTTCAACTTACTGTTTCTCTGGTCTGCTGATTTTCTTCGTGTCTTAAGTTGGAGTACTTTGGTGTAATCGTCATGGTAACAGGCTCTCTGGAAGAACAGCAGAACCCAGCTGTTGCCACAACTGTTCTAGAGACTTGTTACCCCCTGGGTCAGATCTTAAATGTTTCATAAACAATTGAACATCTGGCATGTTCCAAACATAACTACAGTAGTCTTGATTAGAAATACACAAATTTCAGTAACTATTCAAATTGGTGGGAATAATACAAACTCTCAATTTCCTCACCAACAGAGGGCACTGTGTTGTAATAGTCTGTCTGATCGACAGGATTCACTGAAATGATTTGTAACATTTTGGGATGATCCTAGACACTAGTTTTCAAAACATCCATCCATTTTCTTCCCCTTTATCCATTTCTGGGTCGGGGGGGTGGAAGTCAAGAGCTGCACCCAGTACAGAGCACCAGCCCCTCACTGATCCTCCTGCAGGTGGTGAGTCCACAGGAGCTGAGATCTTTCAGTGGGGGCTTCGGGCAAAGTGGGGTTAAGTGTCTTGGCCAAGGACACATCGACAACAGTCATCAGGAGTCGTGAAGTAGGTCTTATGGTGGGCTTGAACCCACGACCTTCAGGCTCAAAGGCCAATGCTCTACCAACTGAGTCACTGTCGCCCAGTTTTCAAAACACTAATGATACAATTGTCTTTGGTACTGGTGGGTACAAAGTGGTGTTCTACAAGAGTCACTTAAAGACATTAATTAAATACAATAAATAAAGCAAAGATTTATGTGTGTAATCATAAACGGTTTTAAAATTTTATTACAAATTATTTACAGTAAACAAGAATGGCCAATGTACAATTTAATGTATGGACAAAACTATATACAATAAATAAAACTGTACAGTTTTATGTTAAATGCGAAAATGTGGGTTTTAAAAATGGCCGAGCTCCAGCTTGAGGAGTAGGGACAGCCATGAAGCCAGGTCTTCTTCCTCCAGTGTCCCCATTGGACGCCCCGCTGTACCCGCCGCTGTACCCACCACTGTATCCGCCGCTGGAACCACCTCTGCCCCTGCCCCCGCCTCGAGACCCACCTCTGGAGCCTGAGGAGGACTTGCTGTTGTAGCCACGACTGCATCCACGTCACACAAAGAGAATATAAGTTGCACATTACCTTTGCTTTAAAAACAGGGACAAACTACTGACACAATAATCAAGACAAAATTACCATCCAAAGTGGCGGAACTTACCCTCTCGAGTTGCCACTTGAGCCATTGTATCCTTTTCGTTTTTTGGAGTATTTGAAGAATGGGCCCTTTTTCCGTTTTTGGCCTTGTCCACTTCCTTTACCAAAGTAACTGGAGGACTCTGCTTCCTGGTCATGGTCATCATCATCATAGTTAAAGTTGGTATTGCCGCGTCCTCGACTAGTGTCTATCCATCCATCATCCTTTGCCTGCTCCTCAGCTTTTTAAAAGAGAATGTTAAATCGTGAACAAGAGCCATGAAAAGGTAAACCCAAAGTTAACCAACGGGCTAAGGCTCATTAAAACTATTAAACCAATACTTTCTTTTGGATAACATCATACAAGGGAGATTTCAGACCAATGAAGAACCTAGACGTGAAACTATTTTTAATTCCATGTTTGAGGGAAGGATTAACATACCGGGCAGCTGCCACTCCGAGTACTTCTGTAGAACTTGCATGACTTCAGCCCCATATTTCTCCAGTTTGTCTTCGGTCACGCCGTCGATCTGAAGGAGGACTTCTGGATCGGAGGACAGCTTTTCTGCGATCCTTTTGAGAGCGGCCGTAGAGAAGATGTTGTAATAGTGAATGCTGAATGCTTTGCCCAGTTCCTTGCACAGATCGGTCAACTCTTTGAGACACTGCTCGACCATCTCTTCTCTCTTGGACACGCTCTTTGTCACGGACGCCTTCTGTCTCCTCATACTCGACACGCTCTCGGTCTCATAGAAGTCCACCTCGAGACCAAAAGGGAGAGTCATTATTGTGAAGAGAATATTCATGGGTTGTAGTTTTTCCTTTAAATCACAACTATAGTATTGCATAAAACTAGGAGCGGTTAAACTTTTCTTACCTGCATGTTTCCAGACAGCACGTTCATAGACTTTGGTCCAGCTGAGATATAAGACACAGCCTGACCCCCGTTGGTGATGTACAGGTCCTCAACCAAGATATTGTCCAGAACGAGCTTTTTAAAGAGGCGGTCTGCATTGTGCTTGGAGTACGCCGCCCCCTTTGCAAACATGCCAGACTGAATTTTAGCAGCTTTTGCACCTGGGGAAAAACAAACAAATGAATGAGTCCTTATATGCAGTTCAGTGCTTACAAAAATATGCAAATATTTGACCAGACTTTTGATCTGATGCTCAAGTATCAATCTCCAAAACATTGATTTCCTACTATAATTATACTCATTTGTTACCTACGAAGATGTCCACTAGCATGTTCAAGGTCAGCCGTGTCTGCTGAGAGGTCTTGCCGTATCTTTGTCCCACTTTTTCACATTTTTCCTGAACAAACCTCACAATATTCTTTACATCCTCAGTCACATTCCTAATCTTGAATTGCTGGAAAAAAAAAAACCTTGTTGTTAGTCTTTACATTATAAAAAAAATATAACTAAATATAAAACGGCAGCCTTCTTACATTAGGTCTGACGCAGTTGTCGCAGCTCACGTCTGGGTTCTCCTTGCAGAAGTTTCTGTTGAAGTTCAGCTCCCCGAAATAAGCCAGCAGTTGAATTCGGCGACACTCCATGGCGTTTTCACAGAACTGCACCATGTTCTGGAGGTTATTGAAATGAGTAGCCTTGGAGTGTCTGTCTCCTTCTTTATCCACTATTCAAAACAAAACACGTAACGATCAGAACACAGCCTGTTACACTCTGGTGATTCATGATGTGGCTGCTCGTACTGCCGATGATCCTCTTGATGCGCTGCACATCGGCGTACGAGTAGAACAGAATGCATTGGGACATTTCTCCATCTCTGCCTGCTCTCCCCGACTCCTGATAAAAGCCCTCCATAGATTTGGGGAGACTGGCGTGGATGACGTAGCGCACATCAGGCTTATCAATGCCCATCCCGAAGGCAATGGTGGCACAAATGACCTGCCGCAAACAAATATTTTATTAGCGACAGAACAGAATATTTCTACTGTATGCGAACTGTGACAAAAAAGAAAACTGTTTATTGTAGAGTTAAATCAGGCTTAATAAAAAAGAAGAAAACACGTGATTGCTCTGTTAAACTATAAGGAGCCTACACTGAAGAAATCTATGCAAAGGACAGGCACGTGACTATTGACTTTGACCAATTTTTTAAGGTTAAGGGAAATGCAATCTCCAAACGGAAAGGTCTAGAGGTGGAATTAGCGCTAACCCCTGCGCTACCGGGTAGCTTGACAAAAAGATATTTATACAACAGGACAGGCAGACGTCAGAAAATTCCTGGTTACTGACGTTAATTACAGAACAATACTGGATTTTCCCACACATTGAGTAAAGTGAGCTCATAGTGCCAGAAAGCCGGGCCTCAGTGTTATTTAATATCACATCACACTGGTTATTGTCCTCTCTACAAATGCATTATTCCAAAATACTGAGGTGGATTCATGCACTGACGCCGCATAAATCTCTTGGACAGCGCATGTCACCTGGCAGCCATCTTGATTGATCCACTTGGTCTGCACATATTCCCTGTCACTGTCGCCCAGGCCGGCGTGATAGGACAGAGCCAAGATCCCGGCTCGCTGCAGACTCTCCGCCATCGCATCGCAGTCGTTACGAGACAGACAGTACACGATCCCTGAGTCGCCTACAAGAGAAAGTAGATTTAACCAGACGCTCATTAAAAACATTTTAACCAATACATTCTACCATCCCACACTATTTCAATATTCTCATTTATACTTTTTCTTTCAGCTTTCTTCTTTAAAACTAAATTGATATTTCTCTCTAGTCTAGAATATTCATGTTACAAATCTGTAATCAATCATCACCAAACCCAGGCAATTAGACCAAAACACAACTGTCCGTCCCATTTAAAAATATATATATATTTAAGTTTTAAGTTTTTCCCAGTCTTGTCTTTTTTAAATCTGCATTGTCTATAGAATTTTGTGTTGTTCATGTTGTCCAGTCTAATGTATGTACAATGTATGTATTGAGCATTAGTTACAAATAAATAAAGTTGTGGCGCCACCTGCATGTCAGACCTCTGAAGCTAAGCAGAGCAGGGCCTGGTTATTACTGTATGAGAGGCCCCTGGGAACACCAGGTGCCACAGAGGGGCGGCTGTGTCGTTAAAGTGCCAAATTGTGAGTGTGTCCTTAGGCAAGACACTTCACCACATTGCCAAGTATGAGTCTAGTGTGTGCGCGTGAATGGTTGGTGGCAGTCCAGACGGCACATACTGGTTGCCTCACTTCTGTCAGTGTTCCCCAGGGCAGCTGTGGCTATTGTAATAGTTCATCGCCATATATGCAGTGAAAGAATAATATCATATGAAGCGTCTAAGTGTCAAATAAAAATAAATAAACACTATATAAAACCTATATTCCTGTACCTATAAACCTATATTCATTACTATTTTTTTTTTAAATCTTCAAAATAACTCACGTGGATAATGCTTTTTGATCCAGCCTATGCAGTCCTCATCTACTTTCTTGGGCTTCTTGGGCAACACAGAGTACTTCAGGTTGGTTCGGTTGAAACTCATAGTAAAGCTGTGTTTAAATATATGTATATTAAGTTAGTCCTTGAACTCTGTATGGTGAGAAGTCAAAATGGAAGAAGACTCATACACTTGTGGCTTGGTCATGTTCAGCTGGTGAAGAATGTCTTTCTGGACTCGAGGCGTTGCAGTCGCCGTTAGAGCCATCATGGGCACCTTCGGGAATTTCACGCGCAGCTCGTGTAGCCGTTTGTAGTCCGGCCGGAAATCGTGGCCCCACTGAAAGGTAAGGCGTTCATTTTAGCATCTTTTGGGACGCCTCTCTCTGTGAACTATGGATTTGTGTACTTACCTGACTGACGCAGTGGGCCTCGTCAATAACAAACCGACTCAGGAGTGATCGCTCATACAAGTTTTGGAGCGCAGAGATCAACTTGTTACTGGCACTAACCTAGAAAAAAGGAAAATAATATTACCATTGAAATCGAACACTGGTGACTTGATTCAAATGATACTGGTTAGTTCCATCACGACAACGGTTATTGACAATACTAAAGAAAAGAAACTCAACATTCAACAACATTTATGGACCAATGGCTCTGTGTTTTTATAATTTCATTTCTTGTGTTTGAACCGTTTGATTCACTGATTTATGTTGGTGAATTCAACGGTTTTGATAAGTCCTCCGAGAGAACTACTATTGGGATTAAGGGCTAAATTGAATTGAATTGTAAAGAAAAGAAAGCCGAAAGCCAGAGAGAAAGTATGAATGCAATTATTACCTTCTCAGGGGTGACGTAGAGCAACTTCACAATGGGGTCTTTTCTAGAGAGCTGCATGTAGATTCTTGCTGCCTCGCTTTCATTTTTGCCACCACTTAAACTGGTAGCAGGAATCTGAATGGAGAAGAAAAAAACACCAACCCCGACCATTTATGAACTTAAAACATATCTGGTACCCAATCAACTCATATGGAAAGTATTGGCTGATGCTTACATCTAGAGTAGTCAACTTCTGAACCTGGTCGACAATTAGAGATTTGAGTGGAGAGATGACCACGGTGACCCCTGGTGAGACGCAGGCGGGGAGCTGGTAGCACAAACTTTTACCACCACCTGCAGAAAATAATTATTCATATTAAATTGCGAGTACTGCAAAGATACCATTATTTTAAAAAAAAAGACTAACCGGTGGGCATCAGAATAAAAGTGTCTTCACCCAGAAGAATAGCATTGATGGATTCTAGCTGGTTGAACCTGAACTGGTGAAGCCCAAATCTTTTATGAAAGATTTTCATCATTTCTTGAGAATGGGAGAAGTTGTAACCTCTAAAGCGGTCATGGGCTGGGTTTCTGAACGTTGGTTCTGTAAAAAAAACACTTAGTATGACTTAACGTTTCATTATTGAAATAACTGCACAATGGATTTTTTCTTCTTTAAAAAAAAAAAGAAAAACACAGAAAAAGAACAGGATTGTGGTTAAAAAGTATCTAGGCCATTTCACCATATATAAATAAATAAATCATTTTGCTATTTTTTTTTAAGTCAACATTTCAAAACTTTGATTGCAAAGTCATGTGTGTGGACATTTTTGACTGCACACACTTCACAGCTGCACTGTGCTTCTTCATATTTCATTTAATTTTGCTGTACGCCCTGGTCGTTGAAGAGAACCGTACTGGCTTTTCCGATCCCACAATGCACAGCTCTGTTTTTGTAATAGTGTGTGTTGGGTGATATGCCTAATGAAGGTGATATAATAATTGTATTTTGTTTACCTGGAGTGCACTTTTTAGCCTGCTGCAGGGCTGGAGCTGGCGTGTGGGCTTTTCTCTCCCCAGAAGTGGTCCTGCCTCCTCCCTCTCTAATATAACTGGAACCTGGCAAAGATGAGCTCGGTTCATCAAAATAATCTGGGATATCAGAGTCATTCAAGTCATCGATGTCAAAGTCATCGTCCCCAAAGTCATCATCAGGCGCCACGTTCTGCAGCTTTGTCCCGTGTACACTGCTCAGCAGAGCGCTCGCCGGCTTCTTGGGAGTAAAGAAGAGGTTTGAATCGTCCAGGTCTATGCTGGATGGTTTGGGGACAGTCTGCGTCAGGGGCCTGTGTGAAGATGGAGAGTCACAGACCAGGTCTTCCAAAAATGATGGATTTTTGTTTTTTTCCTGCAAAAGTTGGGCTTCAAGATCAAGAAGACTGTCAAAATGATCCGAGTCGTAGTCCACACAGATGACGGACGATCTTTTAGACTGAAAAGCAGAGCCACTCGCAGGTGTGCAGGCTGGAGATTTATCTCTGGAGCTGGACTCCGACAGCACAGTACTGTCTGGTTGTTGCGCCTTCGGCCAGGAATCACGACCTCCACCGGTGGCAATAATTCTTTTCCTGGAAGAAGGAAAACAACAAAATGTGTCTTTCTCAGAACACAACTTGATTCCGATATATACACATATATGTATGAGTATATATATATATATATATATATATATATATATATGTGTGTATATACTGTACCTTATGTGTTAGGTGTCACTTTAATGTATGCACTCTTCAGATATTTTATATACACATATCGAGATACAAGTTACAAAAACATATGATAAATATTAATTGTACTTTTAAAGAGTACTAGAACAGTTTCTTCCCCTCTGCTGTTGGACTCTTGAACACTCCTTAACCTGTCCCCACGCCCTTTATAAAGTCACTTTACTGCCCATCATACGTCACTTTACTTCACTGTACTGCTGTCACCTTACATTGTGTGCACCATGTGCACTTGTATATTGTAAATAGTAACTGTAACTCTATTTTAAATTTAAATATATTCCTTAGAAGTGTTTTTTATTCTGTATTTTTTATTATCTCTCTCGGACTGTTGCACTGAGCCACAGCTATTTCCAAGTCAGTGACTTCCTGTTACTTACGTGGCAATAAAAATTATTCTGATTCTGACAACACAAGTTCAGACAATAAATTTAGAAAAATAACTAAAAAAAAAAGATCAAACAACTAACCTGTGTTTTTTGTTTTTTACTAATTGAAATTAGTATCTAGTTAGGTTAATTACCAGTTTTAGTATTGTTTGAAAGAAGATTGTGGATAATTTTCAAAATCCCTTGAACAGAGGCCTTATTGTAAGACATGACTGTAGTCAGAAAAGCGTCTAATGCCTGCACATATTCTGCACCTCACCTGATCGCCCTCTTAATCAGCAGCTCATTACCACAGGACAGGCCGATGAGCTCATGCTCTGGGATTGTGTCCACCAAAGAACAAATCTTTTCCATAATACTGTAAAGCTCATCATCTGTGGGGAAAAATGTTTGTTATAAAAGTGGACATGGTCATAAGAAAATATTTAACTGAAGAATCTGCTGACTCTGGTCTTTCGGGCACTCTTTATGGGATTCCAGCACAACGGTAGATCGTGTTTCAGGCTGAATAGATTCTGATACGGTTTTAGCAGCGTCTTTGAGTCTGTTGGAAAAGCGGGATCATGAGTGTTTGTAATAACTGAATAAATGTTTTAATTTGTGTAGGTGCAGATTAAAGAGATTAAAAACCAACCTTTCAGAGGCCTTTGTGAAACAAGGTGAGCTTTTCACAGGAGAAGGTGCAACGTAATCCAACTGCTCATCAAGCGAGTCATCCATGACCTCAATAACTTTAGCCGGAGACAATGTTTTCATATTTTCTAACAGATAAAAGATTACAAACATTACAACAAGTGTTGATTTTAAAGGAGACATTACCATGATTTTGTTTTTGTTTTTTAATCAAGTTCCTGGAGATTTTTTTAGCTATGTCCACGCCAATGCAAATTAGCCCAAAGCCACAATCCGGAGAGATGTGTTCATTAACATGGAACCAAAACCAAACCAGACCCAGAAATACATAAATACTATATAAATAGATTATAATGAGAGATGGCATCATTGGCATCATGGCATATTTATATTACAGGTGGACGTTTGAAAGTTTGAAGAAAAAAAATTTGTTGACGAGCTTCAGTTTTTAACTTTGAGTAACTTATAATGCTGATCATCTGTAAAATCTCTGCCTCAGATTGGAGGATTAAGTTATCTGATAAATCAGTTGTTCCTGAAGTCTTTGTCATATAAACGCACAGCAACATTATACAATAATAGTACTGTGAATAATACCTGATACAGCTGCAGCAGACATGACATCATCGTCTTCCTCACTTTCGCTCACGATGCATTTCTGCACAGATGGAGGTAGTTTCTTTGTCTTTTTTATCGGAGAATCGATTTCATAGTCAAAAAGATCATCTGGCACACTGAGAGCTGGTGAAACAACTTCCTCGTCTCTTAAATCTAGTTGTGTGACAGGGTTGAGCCTTTTCTCTAGTGTTTGGGCTGAAAAACTAATGTTTTTTGGTGCAACCACTTCAGGACTGTGCTTTGTTTTAGCAGGAGGTTCAAAGTCATCCATATCATCCCAGTCGTCCATAGGGAAGGATGCATCCAGAACTGAGGCCGGGGTGTCATTCAGCTTCACAGGAATGGGCATCTGAGGAGTTGATGGAGTGAGGTTCGACTTGCTTTTTGAGCTTCCAGTAAAGAAGTTGTTGATTTTGACATTTTGAGAACTCCCAAGCTTGAATGAAAAGAGAGGACCATTTGATATAACATTTATAAACATGGGTGTTTATCTAGACATTACCTTCGCTGGAACTTCCACTTTCGTTGTTCCTGTTGAGGATTTCTTTTTGAAACAAAAACTTCTGAAAATAGAGAATAAATTAACAACTCACAGCAAATTGTAAATTTCTCCTCTGTGAGATAAATAAAGCACATCTTATCTTATCAAATCTTTCTCATATGGTGACCTTTGAACAGCAGTAGGTAATGATCAACAATAACCAGAGTCAAAAAGAAACTAAAATACATGTACCGAGGATGAATATTAAGATAAATCATTTTCAGCAAAATCAGAATTCAGCATTTGATTATTATTTCACAGTATAATTTTCCATCCACAGTGACATATGTATTTGACTTACATAATAACAAGTGTCTCAGTGAAAACCGAGAACCAGAATGACAAGATGTTCGTATGTATAGTAAGGTAAGGAACACTTTATAACATAGAATATAATAATATATTATATTCTGTTAATATTAACCATACAGATCTGGTGTGTCAAGCATTTGGTCAGTGCTGAGTGGGTGCATGGGCAAAGGACAACATAAACATAATGACAAACAAAAGGCTATAAATTGGCAAGACAAATATGCATGACACTGGACTTACCCCGCTTTAGGCTTGGCCAAGGACAGTCTGCTCTGGTTTGCACTGCTGTGTTTTGCGAGTTGTTCCAGTAAGTTGTTTTGAGGTATTCCAGCCATGTCTGAGTCTGTGCTAATGCTAGCTTTAAGCGTTAGCTAGTCTCTGAATACTGTGTCCTGTCGCATTTCTTACGCTGACAGTAGCTTTTGCCTTCTTAAATATGCTTCACGAGTACTGAGGTTAGAAAATATTTACAACATTACACCCTTCGTTCTTTGAGAAGCGATGTTAACGATGGCCAGCAGCATCAGAGACGGGAAAACAACAGAAACTTTGCGCCCAATAATGAGCCATGCTTTCATTGGTCAATCTGTCGCTCTCGTTGTATTCTGGGTAATGTAGTCGCGGATATATTGATTCAATATTTACAGTCTATGGGTTTATGCCGTTTTTGCAGTGGTTATTTTTGTGCTTATCTATTTTTTCAATTTTCCATTCACCTTCAGTATTTTAGCAGGTAGGTAGCAGGTATTGGATTATTTATTCTTTGACATGATACACGTTCGACTGATGGCATAAAAAATATAATTTATATTTAGCAAAATTCAAAATGTTTTACGGTTTTTTTAAAGAATGGATGGCTCATTATTTAAGATTATTTAGGTGGCCTGATATTGTGCGTTTTCGTTTCAGGGACCTTGCAGTGGCTTATGTGAACACAAGGGGGCGACGTTAGAATGGCTACACTTGCAGTTGCTTTTCACTACGAAAGCAACGTGTTCCACAACAAACCAAAGGCTCCTCCAGGCCCCACAGCTGAGTAGTGAAGGGCACATGATCGGCCTCAAGAATCCTCATTTAGCTCGAGGATCGAGCCCAGCCTCATCTCCCAATAATGTTTAAGGTCTCCTAAACATAATGAAAATGTACAGTAGGCTTACAATACTTTCTCAGGTGTAGAGTCTAAACAGGCCGTCTTGCCAATGAGTGGCCCACACTAACCAGGGGTCATTAATACAATACAAAATATTGTAAACTATAAACATGCATTCAGTAATAATAATGGGTGCAGTGCAAATAATAGTAAAATACATAAATTAATTCTTAGATAGGCTGTTATTGTCTTAGTTTGACACTTTTACTACAAGAATTCCTGATTGAAGGGTTGAACGTCTGAATGTTTTATGGAAATAAGGACAACATGAGAATTTCATCACTTGGAATTGGGAACAATTCAGCTTAGGGAACAGGCTGCTGCGCCTAAAATAAAATATATTTACTCCATTGGAAAAATCTTAATTTCAGACAATTTCCATTTTACTAACAGTTTAAAAAAAAAATTGTTTCATTTAAACAGTTGTAACTTTTGCAACTTGATGCATCCAGTAAAATTGTGTTTACAATTTTGATTGTACCTTGAGGCGGGCAATGATGTAACAACACACTGAATCTTGCGTCCTTACTGATTAGGCCTTGCTGAGCCTAATCACTCAACATCAGAATTACAAACTTCCGAAGACGGAACCCTTTCTATTACACAATGTTATATAATGTTGTCTGTTAGGAGGAGCACAGCCTTTTCTTAGCCTATTCTCTTGGTAACTATGGAAACAATGTGTTTTTTTAATTAAAGACTTGATATTTGATTCTAGGGTAGTCATGTTTTTTTCTCGGAGGTTTGAGGAGATGTACATGCCTCATTTCTGAAAAGGTCACTCTGGGTTTACAGCGAGGGTGCGCACATGCATAATTATCCATGGATCAACAATAATAACTTTAGTAAATGACAGCCTTTATTTATGTCTATTTTGGCTCTGCAGATGATGACGCTTGGCGGAAGGTAAAGGGGGAGGTGTCCCCTGATCTCAAATCGTCAATACATCCAAAGCTCTCTCTTTAATTAGACACATCTCCATAACAACAACATCCAAAAGAAAAGGTGAGGCTTCGAGTGGACTGTGTGTACCACTCTACGCAGCAATCGAGCACTGACTAAAGCAATGCATCATCAAGTTGTAGCCCACCAGATATGTCAATATATGTGTGAAGAGGATTCCTTCTGAAACAAACCTACTGAAAAGAAGTTGTTTAACACATAACAAGTCAGATCAATGAATACGAAATTAGCGTTGAATTTTTCGGCACAAAATTGGGCCTCATTCACGAATAACTTCGTAAGAAACTACTCAACTTTCTTCTCAAGTTGTCCTTAAGTAGATTTCTAAGAAGTCCCCACGTGGGATTCATCAACGCACTCGTAAGGCGCTGAATTGTTCGCAGCTGTTCTCTCAGATTGATGAATCCCATTTCCTCGTAAGTAGAGCGCGCGTGCCCGGTGCTTCATTACCATAGGTACTTAGCATAAGTAACCGCCCACTAATGCCCATATAAGGGACTGCAGGGCCGTGTGCAGACGCCAGAGGAAACAGCAACAGGCCTAAAGCAGGCTTTTGCCAGACTGAGAATAAAGTTATAAAATGTTGAATTAAAAGTCGAAATATTATGATTATAAAGTCGAACTAGCAAAATTATGAGATTAATCTAAGAATATGATGAGATTAATCTCAAAATGTTATGAGCTTAATTTAAAAATATATTATGTATTATTTTAAAGATGAATCTCAAAATGTTTTGAGATTAATCTCAAAATATTTTGGACCCTGGGAGGAGATCCAGCGCGGACCAGCGCTGAGACCAATGCAGACCCGAGGAGAGACTGGAGTGACCAGCACACAGAAACCAGCGCGGACAGGAGAGACCGCATAGACTGGAGACACCTGACTGGAGAGACCGGTGCGCAGAGACCAGCGCGGACCGAAGAGAGACCGCATAGACCAGACTTGAGAGACCAGCGCGGACCCGTATGGATCCATGGGAGAGACCAGCGCAGACCCGTATAGATCCATAGGAGAGACCAGCGCAGAGACTCAGCGCGGACCCAGTAACCTCCTGCAGCAGCAGTATATATGCCGTTGTTCTGTGGCCCGTGGATAAAGAAATGCCCCCTATAAATAGGAAGGGGTCACTAATACACGGCAAGATTTCCAATGTATTTGATAAAGCGTTGGCACATTTCATTTCAAAATGAATTAAAAAGTAGGCCAGATCTGCAGTGAAAAAGGCGGTATATAAATAAAGATTACTAATAAAGATTACTACAAATAAATAAATACATACATCGATATGACGGACATATCACTGGAATGTTGTATTTTTATTCAACTTCACCAAAGAGGACAACCCCGGCTGTGAACATGTCGGCACTGAATGCGTACGAGTGCTCCTGAGGACTCGTAGGATTTGTACTTGCCCAAGTGAAATTCTGGTTACGAGAAATATTCGTGAATGCCACTTTCTTCGTAAAAACCGCGTAAGTAGGATTTACGTACAAATCTGTTCCTAAGAACCGTTCGTGAATGAGGCCCATTGTCTCTATCTTTGTTTTTAGGTTCCCAAGAGACCAATATGTTGACTTTTTAAAGACTGTGATTTGTTGTTGTGCAGAGCAGTGATGCTTCCTTCATTATGTTTATTCTCACAACATGCACTGACAGCAATAGTCAACAGTTCCCTGTTGTTATTATGTCTATATCTTATGCGGCCAACACATGCACAGTTGTAGCAGCCTGACTTTCTCCATGTGTTCTGAGGGCAATGTATTTATCCATACTTTTCCCATGTGTGTTTATTCATCCATACCCCTATGTCTCAGCTCGTTTTTTTATGCACATGATACAGTTCAATTCAACGTTATACAGGCTTTAGGTCCAATTTAAAATCAGAATTAGTTTTATTCCCATGTACGTAACAGGAGGTCACAGACTAGGTCACTAGGACATTGGTTTGGCTCTCGGTGCAAACAGGTCAAAAGTAGAGAAAGGCATAATAAAACATTTCGAGTATCACATTTTCTAAAATATAAGACATGAGACGTAAACAAATATGAAACACAAAACAAACTGACAAAAAGACAAAAAATAAACAAATAAAATAAATAACCATACCAGTGTCTCCACTTCTTGGACTGAAATCGAGTGGCACTGAACCTGATGTTTGCACCATTATTGTTATATTTTCTGATAAAAAAAACATGAATGTACATTAGAGTCCTTAGCACAGCCTGTACAGTGTTCACTCGTGAGCTGACAAACAGCTCAGACGCACTCAATAAGTGTCATTGTAGGCCACTTGCAACTTGTTCAGACTGGTGGACCATATAAAGTGGTGTACAGTATGCCTTAAACAGTTGCAACTATGGGTGTGTTTGCCAGCTTCTTTCCGGCATAAAGGTGAAATCAATTGTGTCCTGGATCTGTCTGTCCGTGGGAACAAATCTCTCTCTCAATGTGGGCCTCTTTTTTTTTTTTTTTGGAGGTTTCTTTATCAGTATGCGATGTGTTTTTCAAATAAGAGTAATTACAGAATGTTGTGGAAAAAGACAGGTACCCCAGGGTATTAGAACATGATAATAACTTGATAACAACTGCCAGACTATAATGCAACATTAGATTTGGGAGAAAAACAAATGAATGTGTGTGTATATGTGTTTACCAGGTCTTGAAAGTGGATTCTGCCTCATACTGTATGCTCCCTCCCCTGCTGGTGCCCTCCACTGGGACCGTCTTGGATTGAATAGATCAGCAAAAGAAGGGGACCAGGGACACAGGGCTTGTCAGAGCTGGTTGTATCTCAGTTTCTATGCCTTGACGCACAGTTGAGTCATGCCGTGGGTAATCACTGTGAGTCTTGACGTCACAAGTGTATGCAAGGCAAACTTTATCGCACTGTGAAAGTTGAAAGTTACTTCAGACTCAAATTGATCCCAAAAAAAACTATTTACACCACCATTTCAGTGGAGCGTTTTGACCAATGTTTCAATCTTAAATAATATACTGGTAAAATATAAAATACCAATGCAATCTCTGCTTTCTGCTCCTGTCAGACTGTACAATGAGCTATGCAATAACTATACAGACTGTGTAATGAATGTTAATAATGTATAATACTGCAGTAAAAGTAAACATTTTCTCAGTGCAATACAGCATCATATTGTGTCCTCTGAAAACATATCTGGTCACTTTCTCGCTATGTTCACATCCATTTCCAAAGATGGTATTTG